ATCACTTCATGTGAGCTGATTAGAAGAGTGCTTGGTCCTGGTAAACACTTATCTCGCGATAACCAGTGAGGGATCCAGCCCACATCCAGATGGATCCTAAGGGTTGGTTGTATAATTGAAGGGAAGAAATTACGAGGCAGACCAAAGTTATGCTCCAACAGTGCTCAGCTGTGCGTAGCATCAGAAACCAGGTCCAGGAGAGAGAATGTCTTCTTACACCAACTTATATAGTATGCAAGCCCCCCTATTTACAGGTCACTTCATACACAACAAAGGGCTGTACCCTAACCCTAGAAGTCCCTGAGTTCATTGGGGGATTAACCTGACACCAGTGCTGGGGGCAGGTAAGGGGGAGTGACTTGTCCCCTGAGCAGGGAGAGCAATAGCAACGTGTCTGTTCTTATAGCTAAAGCTGCCGGCCTGATAGCAATCAGCCATGTGCTTATAAGAAATAACTTTAAAAAAAAAAGAAAAGAAAGAACTGTAGAGTAGCATTATCATGGGAGGATATTGTGGGATCATTTTTAATTAGGAGGATGTGACGGGACTCATCTCCAACTCATACATGTGAAGCCCTCCCTCCACTCGGAATTCTGGCCTCCATTCCAACTCTATCCCCAATTCTCCCCTCAATCTCACCACGAACCCCGACTTTTCCCCACCAGCTGTCAGCTTTCACCTCGGTCCCCCAGCCCCTGAAATCTGGACCCATTATCCCAATCCAATGACCCCCAGATTCCACCAGACACCCATGATTCTTCCCAGAAAAGCCATGGGGCCCCTGACAAGTTGCCCGCATACACTCCCTTCCAAGTCCTCAGTTTCCCACAAACCAGTAAAAGGACCTAGCACACACTGTATCACCAAGGATGACGTGTCTTTACGATTTAGTTCTGGAGGGCATGAGGTGCCATCAAGCCCGTTTGGACTTACAGCGATCCCATGTGGCAGAACAGGGCCGTGACATGAGGTCTTCTGGGCTCGTCTCTGTGTGGTCTGCCTGTAGTCCAACTTCTTGGATTACTTGCTCAGCATACAGCTTGGATAAGTACGATGAAAAGATAGAAGCCTGGTGCACACCTTTCCTGATTTTAAACCACTCGGTGTCCCTCAGTGAGGTAAGCTGACACAGTGGCTGGCATCATGGGCTCAGGCACAGGAATGGCGAAGGATGAAGGACAATGTTCTGCTGTGCTTAGGGTCACAGTGGGTAGAACCAACTTGGTGGCTCCTGTTGGAGCCATACCCCCTTGTTGTTTAAATTACTGTCTCATGGTTCTACGTATAGGTTCCTGAGGAGCACCATTAAGTAGTCTGGAAGTTTTATTTTTTTGTAATGTTATCCACAGTTTGCTATGATCCAAATCATCAAATGCCTTTGCATAGTCAATAAAGCACACACGAGCATCGTTCTGGTATGCTCTACTTTGATGTCAGCATCTGACATCAGCAGTGATATCCCACATTCCACGTCCTCTTCTGTGTCCAGCTTGAATTTCTGGAAGTGCCCTCTTGATGTACTGCCAAAACGGCTTTTGAATTATCTTCAGCAAAATTTTACTTGTGTGTGACATAAGCCTATTTCCCATATGCTTCACTTGATTGCACTTTGCAGATATTGTGATTTTTTGCAAATTGGAGTTTTCTGGGGCCCCTGTGTAGAGTCATGTGGAGCATTATTTTTTAAAATGCTTAATTTATGTGTTGATGCCACATTTTGGTAATTCTCTCACTAGTTTTTTCATAATGCTATTACACCCTTCAGAGACTATGATGTGACATAAACATAACTTTTATTTGCACAGAGAAAAATGTGATTGACTTCATTGCAGTCTTAGCTTCATTCTGGTGGCCTGCAACAGAACCCAAAATATCACTGAGTTATCGATCGGCATTCTGTGACCATTTCATGTATCGCCTTTCTGTACAATGGGCACAGGTGGTTGGCCAGGTTGCTTCTCTTTAAAATTTCTTAGCATAAAGTGGGTGAGCACTTCTACCACTGTGTATGTTGGCAAAACATCTTAATTGGTAGTCTGTTGATTCCTGTTTATCCCCAGTGCCTTTAGTAGACCTTGAACTTCTTCCTTCAGTACCACCGGTTCTGGTTCATAGGCCACCTCCTGAAATGCTGGAACACCAACAACTTCTTTTCAGTACAATGACTCTGTGTATTCGTCCTTTCTTCTCTTGATTCTTTCTTCCTCCTCCAGCATTTTGCCCATAGAATCCTTCACTACTGTAACTTGAGGCTTGAATTTTTCCTGCAGTTCTTGGCACGTGAGCAATACAACCTGCATTTTTCCCTTTTGGTTTTATAATTACAGTTCTTTGCACATTTCATTGAAACTCTTTGCCTTCTTGAGCCTCTCTCTGAAATCTGTTCAAATCTTTGGTTTCACCATTTCTTCTCTTCATTTCAGCTCTTTTGCGTTCAAGAGCAAGTTTCAGTGTCTTTTTCTGACATCTGTTTTGGACTCTTCTTTCTTCTGTCTTTTGAATGATCTCTTGTGTTCTTCGCATAAGATTTAGTAGATGTCATCCCCCAACTTGGCTGGTCTCCAGTCATTAGCAGTCAATGCATCAAATCTGCTCGAGTGGTCCTCTCAGGATTCATGTGGGATATAGTGAGGGTTATTGTGCTTTGGCTCCTGTGGGTTTGTTTGCATCTTCTTTGCCTATGAAACCATGGAGGGTGTCGCAGAGAAGACTCTCCATAGACCAATTAACCATCTATTCTACGATAAGCCCCTGGCCTTGTTCTGACTGCTGAAATTGAGCTTCTCCATGATGTTTTCCGGGGAGCCAGCTGATTTGCTTCCTGTGTAGCCTGTCCTTCGGGGTTCGTGTGTATACTCATTGATTATGTTGTTGAAAATGGGTATTTCCTGGGGCAGGGGGAAAATGAGGAGCTGATATCAAGGGCTCAAGTAAAAAGAAAATGTTTTGAAAACGATGATGGCAACATATGTACAAATGTGCTTGACCCATCCATTTTTTTTTCATTTGTCATTCTTTTTTTTTTTTTTAAACATTTTATTAGGGGCTCATAGAGCTGTTATCGCAATCCATACACACATCAATTGTGTAAAGCGCATTTGTGCATCATTCTCAAAACATTTTCTCTCCACTTAAACCCCCGACATTAGGTCCTCATTTTTCCCCTCCCTACCCGCTCCCCCTCCCTCATGAGCCCTTGATAGTTTATAAATTGGTATTTTGTCATATCTTGCCCTGTCGGACGTCTCCCTTCACCCACTTTCCGGTTGTCTGTCCCCCAGGGAGGAGGTCACATATAGTTCCTTGTAATCGGTTCCCTCTTTCCTACCCACTCTCCCTCTACCCTCCCTGTTTCGCCACTCACACCACTGGTCCTGTAGGGCTCATCCGCCCTGGATTCCCTGTATTTTCAGTTCCTATCTGTCCCAGTGTACATCCTCTGGTCTAGCCAGACTTGCAAGATTGACCCATCCATTTGTGGATGGATGGATGGATTGTGATAAGAGCTGTAAGAAGCCCCAATAAAATGACTTTTTGAAAAAAATAAATTAAATTAATAGATGAAATACAAAAAAGTCGGGGGGACGGGTATTTCCAATGGATTGTGGTGTTAGTGAAGCATATGAAATAGACCATGGACCTCCAGAAGAATGAACATGCCTGTCTCGGAAGAAGTACAGGCAGGATGCTCCTTAGAAGGGAAGACGATGAGACTGCCTCATCATACTTTGGACAAGTTCTCAGGAGAGCACCATCCCGGGAAAAGGACATCATGCTTGGGAACGTAGAAGGGGAGCCCCAAATGGGGAAGAACAGTGTCTGCAACGATGGGCTGGACCATCGCCACGGTTGTGAGGATGATGCACAGGACCAAGCCGTGCTTTGTACACTAGTCAGTGTGAGTCAGGACCAGATTCAGTGGCATCTAGGAAAGACACGGCGTATGTGGGGATGCTGGGTGGGCTTTGACCACCACCCTTTGTGCCATCCGGAGCTTTTGGGAATGGCCATGGGTGAAATGATCAACAGTCTTCTTTCTTCTGCCAGGAGGGGAAAGAACTTGTCAGGCTCCTGACAGCCAGCGGCGCCTGGACCCAGGGAGCTGCTCTGATTGTACTGAACAGCCACGATCACATGTTGGAAGCCTGTGGGTTTGCCTATGAATACATCGGGGATCTAGTTCCTGATTCTGTTCAGAGAACCCAAAATGTCATCTTTGAGGTCACTGGATGTTGATGTACCTGAACTTGGCTCTGAAGCCTGAAACTTTTATTGAGAATATTCTTGTCCTAGGGGAGCAGGGGAACCCCACAATTTGAAGCATGGTAACATGCAGTGTTTGGGGAAAGACACTGGGTTTTGAAAAGCTAAGGAACATGCTCTGAGACTCGTGGGGGTCTTCTCTACTTATATCCCTGGATCTGAGGGGATAGGGGGGTGGGTGACCGGCACCTCAAAATGCCATGATCCATAAGAAGAATCCTAGGCTTGGGGAACTGGGTTCTGATCTGGAAGCCCAGAGAAGAAGGAGCTCAAAGTGAGATGCATGTCCAGGAAGCTGAGGTGCTGATGTCTTTGCCGCAAATGGTGCTGGGTCAGAGACTCTCAGAGCCCCACTGCTGGTATCAGGGTACACTGGACGTGGGGGTGGAGGATTGGCACAGCAGACTTTGTATTGGGGAGACAGGATTCTCTCAACCCTTGTTTCTATCCCCCTTCATTTTATACACATTTGGCTCGGTCCCCCAAGTCCGAGGCTCCAGGAACTGGAGGCCCTGCCCGATCTGGCCCCAGCCCCTGGGAATTCGTCCAAGGTGCCCCAGGGCCCTCAGGACAACAGGTGCTGGTTCTCCCGCCCCTTCCACAGCTTGGGGGGCGGGGGGGGAGGTGAGGGGTGGAGACTGTCCAGTCCCCAGCAGTATGGGCAGGGCCTTGGCCAGCCTCTGGGTGCCAGCAGGGCAGGGGTGGGGCCCTGGGGGATGAGGGCTTTTAAAGGTTCTCCAGGGAGGCTCCTCAGCTACAAGCTCACCACCAGCCTGACCCTGGACACTGCTGTCACCATGTGGTTCCTGGTTCTGTGCATCGCCCTGACCCTGGGGGGCACTGGTGAGACTGGGGGTGGGTGGGGTAGGGGTAAGAAATGGGGGAGAGTGAGTGGGCCTTGGTTCTTCTGCAGTTTCCTTTTCACCATTCCATGCAGTACACGAGCTTCTGTCTTTGTACCACAGTCCACGCCAGACCCTAATGCCACCTGCTTTTCTCTCTCCCTCAGCCCCGCTCTGCAGTCCTCCTGCCCACATTAGGGCCCTGCTTCCTCTCAGGAAGCCCTAGACCTTTCTCTCTTCCCCCGGACAGCTCCCAGGTTCCAGCCCCTTGGCCAAACCTGGTCTCTGTCAATCTCTTTAGGGGCCCCCAACTCTTCTGACTCGGCCAATCTCACCAGTCCCTGGGACCCTGATCATCCCCTACTGTACTCTAGATCTCAGTGACTCCATGGCCTGGATCCTTGTCCCCTCAATCTCACCAAGAACCCCAACTTTTCCCCACCAGCTGTCAGCTTTCACCTAGGTCCCCCAGCCCCTGAAATCTGGCCCCATCATCCTGATCCAATGACCCCCAGATTCCACCAGACACCCATGATTCTTCCCAGAAAAGCCATGGGGCCCCTGACTCCATGTTCGCCCACATTCAGGTCTGGAAACGTTTACTCGCTCCTCAGCTCTGTTTCAGAATCCCTACCCAACACCCTAAGGCTTCCCCCCCCCCCGCCCCCCGCAAGTAACAGCCTCCCGAGTCCTCTTCCTACCTGAAACTCACCTTGGCTGCTCAAATCTTCTGGAATCCCTTCCCTATACCTGCTACCAACATACATGATGCCGGGCTCACCCCAACACAGCATGCTCTGAATCCATCTCAAAGCCACCTCCCCAACCTTCTCTATTCTGTCCCAAACAGCACCCTAAAAAAACCCATATCCCTCTGTCCTCCTATCTACCTCCTCAAACATCAGAAGCCCCTCCCATAGCTGCACTTGGGCCCCTCCCACCCTCTTAGCACACCATCCCTCCCAGCCTCACAGGGCCCCTCTCCCAGCCCTTGACCCCACCCCTGCCTGTCACCCATTGACCTGGAACCCCCAAATCTCCTACTACCAACTGACCCCTTCCAGGCCTTATCCAGTGACCTTCAAGTGACCCACAAATCTCCCAGCTCAGATGCTCAGTCTGGGCCTTCTGGACCTGACTCCCCAGATCTGCATTCTGCTCAGAACCCCACAAGCCCACCCAGGGTTTGACCATTCCCCCAAAGCCCAACCCTTAGCTGTGGGGTTCCTGTCCCTGAGCTCTGGGACCTCCTGCTCGTCTCTGATCCCCAGCCTCCTGTCCCCCAGTCTAGGACTTCAAATCACCCCACCCCACAAACAGTGCCAGCTCCTCCTCTTGGCACCTCCCCCAACCCTGGTCCCCGGGGTGTGCACCGCCCTCGAAGCAAAGTCTCCCCAGCCAGTGGTCAGATCTCGATCCCCTCCCCTCATGCCTGACATCCAGCCCTCAGATCCTGGTTCCACGACCCTCAGGTGCCACCAGACACACCCGCTTCTTCTCAGCCTTTCTGGTCAACCACCCATGGGCAATCCCATGCCTGGCTGTCCAATTCAGGGCCCATCTTCTCAGGCTGCCAGCCCTGGTCCCCCGTCCCTGGCACCCCAACCCCTCCCCTAGCCAAGTCTCTGCCTTTCTTGCCCACCCTGACCCAGTGTCCTCTCCACAGGAGCCGCACCCCCCATCCAGCCCCGGATCATTGGAGGCTGGGAGTGCAAGCCGCATTCCCAGCCCTGGCAGGTAGCCGTGTACAATTACAATAAGCCCGAGTGTGGGGGCGTGCTGATAGACCCCAAGTGGGTGCTCACGGCCGCCCACTGCACAAGCAAGTGAGTATGGGCAGGGGGGGCCTGGGGAGGAGTTGCCTGTGCTCCCACGGAATGACCAGGGGGCCCATCCCTTCTACCCCCCCCACCGGGAATAACCACAGGGGATGCTGACAACTGAAAGGGGAGAGGGGAGCAGTGCTAGCACATGTACCAGACAGACTGGGAGGGGCGGTGGGAGGTGCGGGATGGCCACCTAGCAACTGCTCCTGGCTGCCTGAGTCTCTTCTGGGCATCTCTCTCTTGTGACCATTCTTGGGTCCCTAGCTCCCTTCCACATCTCTACCTCCATGCGTCTCCATCCCATCTCCGGTCCCCACTGCCCTTCTGAGCTTTAGCAGCTGTCTGCCCCCAGCCCCACCCTCCAGGACACTCGGTCCTCTCCAGAGAGCCTCTAGGAAGGGCCAGGGTCAGCTGGAGC